AAAAAATTAAAACAACAACAACAAAAAACACAGAAGTTCCTAGAGAAGTTAACTTCTTTTTAGGTTTATAGAGATTATATATTGAAATTCAACATTTATTAAACAAGTACTCAATGCAAGTCATCTTCCTCTTCCCATACAACTCAGTTCAGTCAGTCAGCAGGTACAGAGTATTTACAAAAGATGGAGAACTTGATGAGGTGTAATGGCTAGTCGCACAGAAAATAGATAGGACACCTACTTTCCAGGAGCTTACTGGTTAAGATGGACTAGTATGCAATAAACCAGCTCTTCAGAATAAAAACCAAAAACCTTGAATTGTAGTGCTTGTGAGCTTCTGTGGTATTTGTATTCCCAACATTGCTGATCTCAAACTACTACCAACTTGAGATGTCACTACTCAGAGTTGAGACGAGAAACACATAGTTGGTTCTCAGGAGCTGGTAGAGCTGGTTGTAGCACATCAATCAGTGAATAACACATATTAAGAAAACCTGCAAGTGGAGTATGGTGGAACACATCTATAATTCCATTCATTGATTTGGTAGACTTGAGGCAGGAGAATAAAAGTTTAACAACTTAGTGAGAATCTCAGCAACTTAGCAAGACCTTGTCTCAAAATAAAAAGTAAAAGCAAAAAAGGACTGGGAATGTAGCTCAGTGCCCTTTGGATTCAATCACCAGTATGAAAGAAAGAAAGAAGGGCYGGGGTTGTGGCTCAGAGGCAGAGTGTTTGCCTAGCATGTGAGAGGTACTGGGTTCGATCCTCAGTACCACATAAAAATAAAGGGGGCTGGGGTTGTGGCTAAGTGTAGAGCACACGTGAGGCACTGGGTTCAATCCTCAGCACCACATAAAAGTAAAATAAAGGAATTGTGTCACCTACAACTAAAAAATATATTAAAAAAAATAAAGGTATTGTGTCTACCTACAACTAAAAAATATAAAGAAAAGGAAAAAAACCCTACAGGGCTGGGAATATAACTCAGTGGTAGAGAACTTGGCCTATCATTCATGAGGTCCTGGATTTGGTCCTCGGCACCAAAAGGATGGAAGGATGAAAGGATGGGAGGGAAGGAAAAAAGGGAAAGGAAGGAAGAAAAAAGGGTGTGAGGAAGGAAGGAAGGAAGGAAGGAAATCTATAATAGCTAGTGCTGAGGCATTTCTGGAAAGATCAAAGTCCTGTCAGCTCCCTCCTATAATTCCCATCCTTTTCAGAGGACAATGATCTCCAGGGTGCTCTTGGAATTGGTAGTCATTATTTTGGCATTTCTCTCCTATGGTTGCCATCTTTCAAACCAGATGAAGTAATTTGTGCTTCTTGTTTCCTAATAGAAGCCCCAGCTATCAGACTTCATGTGAAAGATGGCTAATGCAGAAGTGAGTGTCCCAGTGGGAGATGTGGTTGTGGTACCCACTGAAGGAAATGAAGGGGAGAACCCTGAAGACACTAAGACCCAAGTGATCTTGCAGTTACAACCTGTGCAACAAGGGTAAGTGGCTAGAAATTTGGTATTCTGAAAATTTTGGGGAGGTTTAAAGGGTGGGAAAATTGTAACTTTATAGTTGTTTAGCCCAATGGAACATTCAACATCAATCAGCTGGCTGAGTTTTCATAGTGATATGTATTGTGGTTTTTTTTTTTTTGTTTGTTTTGTTTTTTTGTGCTAGGGATTGAACCTAGGGCCTCCTACATACAAGGCAAGCACTCTACCCACTGATCTATATTCCTAGGCCCTATATTTGTCTTTTGTTGTTGCTGCTGGATATTGAACCTAGTACCTTGCATTTGACTGAGCTATTTCCCTAGTCCCTGTATTTGTCATTTTAATATTATTATAACAGTTATCTATTTCCTTGTATCCCTCTTTCCTCTCTGCTGAGAGATTTATTAGGATAAGTTATAGGGATCCCTCATCTTATATAGTAATAGTTTTTCTTTTCTTTTTTTTTTTTTTTTTTGTACTAGAGATTGAACCTAGGGCCTCATGCATACTAGGCAAGTGCTCTATCACTGAGCTATATTTATTCCAAGCACTCCCACCCTGCCCCAAGACAGGGTCTTACTAGGATGCCTTGAATTTGAGATCCTCCTGCCTCAGCCTTCGGAGTCACTGGATTACAGGCATGTGCCACTGCGCTTTGCACTATGTCTACACAACTTTTTTTTTTTCTTTTTGGTACTGCGAATTGAACTCAAGGGCACTCGATGACTGAGCCACATCCCCAGCCCTATTGTTTATGTTATTTAGAGACAGGGTCTCGCTGAGTTGCTTAGCACCTTGCTGTTGCTGAGGTTGGCTTTGAATTTGTGATCCTCCTGTCTCAGCCTCCCAACCTGGTGGGATTATAGGGGTGTGCCATTGTGCCCACCTCAAAAGAGGTCTTAAAGGAAAATAAGAATTAGATCTGCACAGAGAAGGAGGGGTAATTCTTCTGTCTTGGAGAATGTATAGAAGATCCTTCATGGGATTAGCAGTGTTCCTGGGCAAATAATACAGTCCTAATCTTTTTTTTTTTTTTTTAATTGCCCCTCCTGCATCATACAGGTTTCTGCCAATCCTGTTCTAATCTAAGTAATGTGCCTTGTCTTAAATATTTCAAATTTCAAATGTATAGGTTCATTGGTATACCTTTGTGATCCCAATGATGAAGGAGGCTGAGGTAGGAGGTGGTCAAGTTCAAGGCCAGCCTGGGCAATTTAGCATGACTATCCCAAAATAAAACAGATAAAAAGGGATAG